GCTATCAGTAGTATCAGAGGCAAGAGCTCCTGCACAAACTGCCAGGTAATCTGGCTTCAAAACTCAGGGAAAAAACCTGAAGGCAGCTGTGAGTCCTGACTAGGGTAAGGGGCTTTTAGGGGCGATTCCCAGCTAAAAGCGTCATTTCAAGGAAAGAAAAAGGGGCGCTGGTAGATCACGTCGCTCTGAAGACGGTAGGAGCCGTTCTGTTCAGGCAACAGCATGGCGATGGTGACGGTCTGTGGAAGAGATCGGAACGCCGAGTTGGTCGCGCCGGAGGTCGAGTCGGTCAGCGCCCGCGGCCGTCTATTTGCTCACGCCGCGAGTTTCTATTTCAGACCCGATTGCTCAAGTCACGCCGTGTCCCAGGGACAAGAATAGCCTCTCACAACGCACGAATTTAGCGGCGACGCGTGTCGTCTGAAGGGCTACGGCGCCATATTTAGCTTCCCGGGGCGGAGACACGATGTCAGAAAAACCGCTCAGCGCTCACCTTTGTGTCATTGCTTGAGTAAATAGTGTGGAAAATCGCTGGAAAACGAAACCGCGACGATGATTTGATTCGCTTCGTATGAAGGTGTGATTAACGGACGTATTCACTTGCTCGTGGCGGATTTACGTCAGAAGGCGCATGTCGTCAACAGTCGAACGTCGAAGGTCTAATACTTCTTCATTACGACAACGTGTGGCAACGGAGGAAGAAGGCTGGCTGGCAGTGGCGGCGACCGCCTCTTCTTCAGTCTTCAGGCTCGAATTACGTGCGACAACACTCAGGCTGGCGTGTACTCTCGCCCTTGGTTTGTCCGACCGCTCTTGTACTTGGGGCGGATTAGGCCCTTATGCGTCGCTCACGTGCCTATTCATGGACTTCACTGCTGGAAAGATCTGCGACCAGAAACTTCTGCGGTTAACCAGGAAGTATTCACGGGACTGCGAACACCCATCTTTTATGAGGAATCGGCGGTCGGTAAGCCATAAGTAGCCCTAGCAGGAGCATAAATAAACCACACAAGCTCATTTTTTAAAGCCGGCTTGATCGGGTTAGGGCGCCTTCAAGGAGATCTTTGAGCATGAATTTCATTCAGGAAGTAGAGCTCCACCTGTCGAGTAAGAAGCTCTTCTGACCAGGTGAAGTGGATAAAGTGGAAAATACAAACTCTAATTTCAGAGCTGTAGGAAAGTCTCCTAAGGGACGCAGCCGTAGATGAAGTTTGAGGAGAAGGTGGGGCATTGGTAGGCGTAGATGTGAGCCAGTAGGGTAAACTCAGGCTTAAATAGTCACACGCACCAAAGTGTGACATTAGGGCCTGTGAGGCATGTGTGAGTGCATTTCTGAGGAAACTGCTTCAACCAGGTAACTAAATGACTGACAGGATTACCTTCGCTAGGAAATACCCTAGGGGGGGGGGAAAGAAGGTCCAAGAAGGTCTATGTCAGAATCTGGTAAAAACGATGAGAGGTAGGAATGAGGAGAGGGGGGGGCGTTGGGAGGTGAAGAGGGGAAGGATGAAAGATTTGCCGGGACAAGAGGTAGGATACGAGAACATTTAGGACCCTACCTAAAGCATCTTTGGATAACTCGCGACAGAAAAGATAACTCATCGAAAACTACCTTACTAATGCTCTCATTAACAAACTTGATTAAAACCCTATTGGGACATTCCCAAACGCCCGGTCAGACCTCAGGGAGCTACCTGTATTCGCAGGTAGGCCCACAAACCCTATCCCGCCCTGAAATTAGCCACCCTGAAACATTCCATTGAATTATATCGCCAGCTGGGAAACCGTGACAGTGGCACTTCTGGAAAACACGGGCGCCTGCAGTCATCGGGAGACCAAAAATCCTCGCTCAACTTGTTGACGAGACTAAGCGTTGGCCAAGAACTGGCGCCTGATCACACACACAGAGCGCTCGGACTCGAGTTGCCCTTGGTGTCGAAGCGTCAAAGAACGCCTTGGGGCCAATAGAGAAAAACATACGCGAACACATAAAGTACTGAAGTACTAATGATCGCTGAACAGCGAGATTGGTCATATGGTACAGTGAAGGGCACGAGCTGACACGAGCTTCACAAATAGGAAAGGCTGGAAAACACGGGGCTAAATTGAGCGGCACTACTCTATGCGAAGGGAGAACATACACTGAAAAGATTCCCTGGGTTCCTGAAGCTCCTGTCAGCTGGAATATGGGAGAAGATGGACCTCAGTAGGACTGCTGAGAAAAACTGAGGTTTATACAGGGGAAGGGCGGATGCGGTGTAATGGCAAGTGGCGCCGCTCATTTGGGGTACGTTCCAAGCGTTGAATCCCGGACTGAATTTCGACAAGGCCAATGAAGCCTTCCCATTCCTTCAGGGTCGGTTAATTGGTACCAGACTTGTCTGGGAGGATAAAAACACTGACTTGAACATCGGCTGGCCCCCGCAAGTCATTGTATAGGCCACATCGCATTCAAAAGCCACTACGAATGTACAAATGGAAGTAGAATGCGTGGCGCATCCAAAAGAGGATTGGTTACCACCGAACGCTTTGTAGTTTTGATATAGCCGAAGTGGATGTCCAAGGAGGGGTTTCAAAAGCGTACTAGGATCATTTCGTACAGTAGGCTAGCTAGTCGGCGTAAAAGCACAAGGAACTGCGCACGAATTGGCGAAAAACTGCCGAAGGAGATAAAAGGGATCGGCGCTGATGAATTAGCTGGAATGTGCCACGCCTTCGCACTCGTTTTCGAATCGTATATCCAATTAGCCCCGTACCATGTAGCAGCCGTAGTCGGATACCAAAATGAGAACAAAAACCCAAAGGGAAGCAAATACATGGCGTATACCCGAGGAGTTTTCGACTTTATTCATCCCTGAGGACAAATTTGACCACGTAGTTTACTTGGTTAAATAGTTAGTTTTAAAAAGACCATGGACCATGAAGGGTAGCAGACACTTTTTTACACCAGAGAATCGGATATCGGAAAACGGAAAGCCGAAATTGAGGGTAGTGGGGATCGGTGTATAAAAGCTGCGTTTTCATTTATACTGTGACCTAATGTCACACCTTCTGTGACTAGTATTGAATCCTCCCTCACAAGGGGTTCACAAAGAAATTAGGCGTTTCACAGAAAGACTCAAAAAAGCCCACGCTCACGACTATGATAGCCTATTGTTACCAAATTGAGCCCCCGTCAGATACGGTAGCGGGGGAGGGTGGTGGTGTAGGTACAATAAATGAAATATGATAAAAATTGTACAGATGGTAAATGTAGCGACATGAAGAGCGCTCGTGAGAGCGATGATGGTTGGGGGATGCGTGGCGCGGGTGCGCTCAGGCCATCAAGAATGAAGCCGAACTGGCTTCGCAAACTGGTCGGCGCCCACCGTCACTGCCGCTACAGTCGTCGTCTTCGTCGACGACGACGACACCGAGCACGAGGACGATCATGGTGGTGTCGTCGATGTGCGCACGCGCACGCCGACACCAAAAAACCTGCGCTCAACGGCAGTATGCGTGTGCGTGATCATCGTTGTGCGTACGCATTTACACATTCCCTCTGTTATATTCGACTCGTATTTTATTATAGTTGCACCAGCCGCTACGCCGTGAACTCGTCAACGAGATGAATCGCGAAGGTGATTGAATGCGCACCCCATCCAGATGCAAGCACAGCGAATCAAGCTCACAGCGATGGGTCAACCTCCATTAGGTCTCAATCTGGTAGGCTCAGGGCGGTGTCGCCTTAGTCAGGATTGAACTTGTGAGCAGCAGAACACAGAGCTAGTTACTGAGCGCTTCAATAAGCTCCATTAGCTGTGAAAACCTCATGGGAATTTGTAATAGGGAAGAAAGGAAGGATAAGATCGCCCATTCGTAACGTAATACGTCGAATAGCAAGCTTCTAGGATCGATTACTCATAAGCAGGAACAGAGATAGTGAAACGACATTCGGAAGCATCCACTGTTCCTTAGATCTGTTCGCTTACTTTCCAATCGATTGAGTGATTTAAGCGATATGAATAAGAGCGGAGGCGCAAGTTAGAGGAGCGGGTTGAGAAAAGGAACGCTTGCCGAATTTCTTTTGAATAATAGCCTTCAACTTAATAGCAGAGACCTATCGCAAATTCTGACGGACACACAGTTCGCGTCGTACTCCAAGAATCATGCGCCTGAATTAACGCACAGCTTATCTCTTACAGTTGCTTTGGATGGGTGGCTGTTTCCAGAGCATAATTGAGGCAGTGCCAGGATTGTATCACACGACAAATCAATAAAATTCGATCAATAGTGATCAATTACAGGAAAAATGTAATAAGCCACACAAAATAGGAACCAGTAATGAATGAAGGCTCGCGATTGAAGTTAGCTATTGAGACTCGAACCAAGAAGTCAAAAACGCACTCGAATAGCTTTATGCTTATGCGCCATAATGAGCCTAGCAGCAGCCGCTATTTATCACGCTACTGGTAGTACGAGATCCTCCGCCCATTCGGCGACCGTCGCAGTCGCTGTTACCCGTACTTTGCCCGACCACCGTGAAGATCACGCGCACTCGAGAACCGCCTGACGGCTCCACCCATACGTGGGGAAGTTGGTCCAAAAAAGTATGTGCACATCACACAAACAACGACATGAATGGAAGTCCTCATGTGTCCGAAATATCCCATAAAATCGATAAATCGATTGATAATTGATCGGTACTTGGCAGATCTCAGGCTTGGTTATTGTGAAGGCATCAATACCCTTACACCTCAACAACAAGAGATACGGCAAGTCAATTCAAACTAGAAGAAAGGAAATGCGAAGATTCAGGGCTGATAAGAGATGAAAGTGATGATAAGAGTGATAAGTGGCCTGAGTGGAAGGTCTAAATGGATGGCTAGGCAGAACCGAGGGTCCAGCTGATAAAAAAAGAGCTAAATGGGTAAGCAGAAGGATTTACAGGGATTAAGGCAAAGCTAGGGTTTTTGAATGCAAGAAATTTCCCAAAAATTGGGAAATAATTAATATAATAGCACGGATACCTTGGATACAATAGCCAAGTTTGAGATTTATCAAGAGTCGATCAATATCAATCGATTTATTGATTTATTGGGATTAATGGATTTAGTCGGAAATTTCTGCAGGGCTAGGAAACTTTTGTTGTAACATAGGCAAAATTAAGAGTTGCACGGGGTCAGGCCCGTTTTCAGGACTACAAATTCCAGCTGATAGATTTGGGGGTTCAACAGACTCTCCAATAAAGCCACTCCACGAAAGTGCACGATCGAGGGACACGCGGCTAAGCCGAATCGGATTATGTCCAGCGGGAATTCCTCTTCGCGCGCGGGTGCGTTTCGGCGCCCTGAAAGTCGCGAACTCGAAGTGGCACTAGTCACTATATAGTCGTAGGACAGCCGACACACACACAGCAATAACGTTCTATAGCGCGAAACCCGAGCGGGAATGAGTGGTGGCGATGATGGTTGTCGAACGACGCGAATTCTTACACAATCAAGCCAGCCGTGGCTGCAGGCTGTGCGGCTGGTTGAATAGTCGTCGAAGGGCTAGGCGACGCGGCGGACGACTTTGAGGACGACAAGAGAGAGGGCTATGGTGAGGGCCAGTCATCAGACCACCATCTAGCGCCGGGGCACACAGACACGACCAGCCAAAAGCGGTGGTCGCCTGGATCAACATCGCAAACACCGCTGCTATTCAAGACGTCAATGCGGGCAAAAACGCCCCTGAACGACAACGATTTCGAACTCGCACCGCTTCGACAAACAAACGCCAGCGCGCCCGTTACACGACTAGCGCTCAAATTCAGAACAACCATGGAAGTAAAGTGGCTCAAGATGGGACGGGTTGCTGAGGGGGCCTTCAGGGGCCAAAAATAAGGATTGATGATTAGTTCATCAAAATCTCAAGATAACCACATAAAAAATATCGGAACACAAATCGGATCTTTTACAGTAAAGGACTCGATACGATCATCAGAAAAACGTCAACACTCAGCACTTAAGTTTCCTTTGGTAGGCGGGTGCATGGCGCAACCCGCATGACAAGGAATTTCATGAATTTGGTTCTTTTTAAGCGGATCTCAAAAAATGTACTATAATGGGGGAAAATTCATTTGTACGATGAAGGTGATGAGGAATCGGAAGGCTTATCACGAGTAAGCAAAGCTAGGAATGATTGGTTTTTGAGGAAAGGAAAATACTATTAGCTAGGAAGATAAAAGAGAAAAGAGAGGAAATGGAATGAAAACCTGAAAAAAGGTGGAGGAAAACGCATAGATAATATTACAAGGATAGATCAATACCTGAGCAATATTCTGGGAAATGCGAGGCAAAATAAAGAATGAAGCATTCGGCGTGGATTGATCCAATTTAGGGTTGCGCCATGCACTCTGCTCTCGTCCAGAATCACAGTGGCTTTCGAACATGACTTGGGCTATACAATGAATTTCAGGGGCCAGGCTATGTACAGGTCAGTGTTTGTCTTCCCGGTCAAGTCGGGTACCACTTAAACGACTCCAGAGATGGAAGCCTTGGTTGCCCAGGGCGAGGTTCGATCTAGGATCCCCTCTCGGATCAAGGGTAGGGTACGAGGTGCTACTTTTTAATTCATTCCTTTCGAGGAATTTGATCACAGATAAATAAAAAGTTCAAGAAAAACATCGATTTTTGAAAGGCTCGTTTACAATCTAGAGCTTTTCTCACTTTGCGTGACTCTTTCAACTCCAGCGCCCTTCACCACCCGCATAGTACAAGAGGACTTCTCAATGGAAAAGCGAAACACCAACGCCGATGAAAAACTCGCCCCAACATCACTTCAAGTGTGTTCGATAGGATTTCTTTGCTAGGAAAACGTAAAGATCTGGGAAATGTTTTCACAGAGAACCGGATTCACCATTGAACAGAACCCTGCGAAAACGCTTAGGAAACCCAGGGAGGGGGATTGGTTTGAAAGCGATTATGGGAAGAATGAGACGATCAAAACCGCCCTCCAAAGTTCGAAGCAAAATAGGTAAGAGGCAAAAGTAATCCTATGCACCGATGGAGGGTACCAGAACCCACTTAACCCGGCCAATGTGCAGGTTCTTCGAAGATATTCAATTTGGGCCTGGCTACTGGCAGCTCATGCATTTTCTGAACCGAGAAGACCTGGACTGTGCCGGAATACGATCCCCAACGAAATAAGAAAATCACTAGAAATACTTTGAGGGGGAGTGGGGGGTAAATCGCATTTACATTTAAAAAACGCTAGGCAAAGAAAATGCGAAAGAAAAAACAGGAAGAAAAATGTCAGGAATGCCTTATTAGGGATGTTCAAGCCTTGTGCAGCGGCAGCTTTATCGTCAATGAATGCGATAAGCATCGCCAGCTTAGCTGAGGCAGACACTGCAAAAGCTAGGGATTAAATAAATCTTCTGGGGGTGGGACATCCCTGGAGATGATCTCTGGGGATGTCTCAACCGGAGGCGGTTACTCATCAAGGACGATAATAAACAAGCTCCTGAGTAAGTGATCTCTCTCTCACAGGCTAAGTCGCTAAAAAGAGATTTCCAACCACAATACAAAGTATGGGAATTGATCGATTAAAGAGCTTCTTCCCCTTCCCGGGCTAGAAGTGACACATGACGCCAGAGACTCGGGTTGAAGACACCACCGAGGGTGTGAAAGTGAATTGGGGAACTAGTCCACGCGCGTGAATCCGGATTTGGACGTCGCGTCATCGTGTCGCGCGACGTCGCTCGGCTCAGATTCGGCGAACACGATGTGTGTGAGCGCGACGAGGTGGAACCAGTCACGAGGCGAAGCGCGTACCACACCAATCATGGACTCGGTCTAAAAGTCGGGGGACGAGGAACTGGGCCGCCACGGGTGTCTTACGCGCTGCTATGATGCAAGTCGGATCACATGACGTAAATGGTCAGGTCCAATCATGAAATCGATCAAAAATGGCAAAAAATTACGGTAGCCTCAAGTGGCTTCATAGCTTGGGGCAGTGAAAACAGTAGTTCAGCTCTTCACCAACTCCTGGACAGCCGGGTTTTTGCAAGGGTCTCAAGGGGCTGGAGGGTTTTTTTAGAAATGCTCGAAACCCTATCGGTAATGGGCTCAAAGGTATTAATAAAACTACCTCTAACCCTAGTCGGTAGTTGAGGGGGGGGGGGCGAGTGAAGCACGGCCACATTGTTTATCGATTGCTACTCAAACTATCGATTGATTGATTTGCGGGAAAAGCGGTGAGAAAGGTAAACAAAATTGGAACCATATGAGAGTAATCAAAAGGATTTAAGAAAGAACATGTCGCAGGAAAGCGGTTTCTAAAATTGAAGTGATCACAGAAATTCCGATTTCCGATAGACCGGAATGCGTAAATCGCTTAAGGATAAACTCGCAATGTAAACAAGCTGATTAATCACTGATAAGCCCCTAAGGGCCGACAATAAGCTTACC